ATGTACAAGTGTGACACGTGCAGTTTTCAGACTAAACGTAAGAGCCACCTAAAAACGCACCAATTAATACACAAAGACACCTCAGAACTCCAGATGTACAAATGCAACACTTGCACGTACGAAACTAAATATAAGGGCACTCTAAAGTCCCATCAGTTAATCCACAAGGACCCTTCGGAAATCCAAATGTACAAGTGTGATATATGCAGTTTCGAGACGAGGTACAAGAAGGGTTTCAGCAATCACCAATTAACGCACGGGTGTCCTACCACATCTCAAAAGTCGGAATGCGATCCCTCGGTATATAACCGTTCCTTGGACATCCAGATATACAAATGTAACGATTGCGTGTATGAAACCAGGCATAAAGACAATTTGAGAGTTCACGTGCTGAGGCACCAAGATCCCTCGAAAGTGCCGATGTACAAGTGTGATAAATGCGTTTTCCAAACGAAGCACAAACGGAGTATAACTAGGCACGAGTTGACACACAAAAACTCTGTAGTAGCGTAAGTCTGCAAGCGATGGGGTGTTTGCCTAAAAAAAATGTGTAGTGTTATGTTCTATTCTACCCCCTTATCTTTTTTTGCCTTTTTATTTAGCAAAGTCACAATTTCTGTGGATTTTCCTATTAAAAAAAATGTCTTGTTATAAAAGGTGATTATAGTGCCTCCATCCTGTTCTAGAGAAAGGATATACAGGGTGTTCACTTTTTAAACGTATTAATTTTAACAGTTGATAGGTAGTAAATTGCTTCCTAACTAAGATACAGGGTGTTAAATTATTTTTTTTAACTTTTTTTTTGTGATATATAAAAAACAGCAAGTGTTAATGAAACCAAAGTAGGTATGTTTTGTGGCAACATAATGCTCTAAAAAAAGGCCTGCAAACGATTCACTATAACCAACAGTGATCCGGTAGATGGGTTGCCAGCAGTGGCGACTCTTGACTTCCATAATAGGGAGGGCGGAAAAATTTAGGTACAAAGTATTGAAAAAAAAAATCAAATATAATTGGGTAGTTTTATTTTAAGTCTATTTTTCTGCTTTTGTCCGAAATAAACTTTTCAGTTACTTTCCATTAAAGTTTGGTATTTCTCGCACCACTGATTTTTTAATAGAAAGCTTGTAAGTGCCGTTAATCTATAATTTTATAACAGTTTTTCAATTAAAATTGATTAGCAATAAGAAACCCATAGGCGTAGAAATTGTTTAAAAAAGGGGCACTGACTAGCTCATTTTTAAAGGACATTATGTTACCACAAGATATACCTAATTTAGTTTCATTAGTACTTACGGTCTTTTAAATATGAAAAAAGTTTAAAAAATTAATAAATTCGACATCCTGTATCTCGGTTATGAAGTGATTTACGACCTTTAAGGTAGGTCATATAAATTATTAGATCGTTTGTTTACTTTTCCTTTCAGAATATTGCATAAGAAAAACTTATTTTAAACAATGTCTTTTAATGGGGTTATAGTCGACAGTACAAGCCCCCCCCCCACCCTGGAAAGTTGATTACCACATACTTTATAACTCGTGAGGAGCTTCACTACACTTTTCCTATGCGACTTTTCTCGATCCCTCCGCTTTTCCACTCGGAAAAGTCCAAAAATGGTAATTTCCCAGGGTCTTGAAAAGTCAAGACACATCTTTTTTTTTTTAGCTTAAGTTACTGAAAATTTTGTTGCAAATGCTGATTTAAATTTGTCTGATAGAAATTATTCCGACATTGACGTGTCTGGCGGCGGAAATATTCCAAAATGACGGTATTGGAAATCAATTACCACATAGGCAATTTTTAGTAAAATTTATTGTAAATAACTAATTCAGTTTAAAAGTATTGTCCGACTAATTTCAAGCCGCGTTTTTTCAGTCCGACAGCTGGATATCGGAATTTTCACGGGGTATGATAAATCGATTACCACATATCTAATTTTCGCAAATTATTAAAAAATCAATAAATCTATAAAAATCCTTTTTTCTCTTTCAAGTTTTCATTCGCATTTGTTATTTTTCTTTACAAAATTTTTTCCTATTTTTCTAAAAGAAAATACCAAAACATTTGTGCATAATTTTTTTACACCATACAGATACATACTTTTTGTAAATCGTTTAATTCTTTTCTCGATATGGCTAAATTGAGCATAATAGATTTACAATTACAAGAATAAAACGAAAATATATATATATATTTCACAATGAAGTACATATTTATATGGAATTTTACTTAGTACATGAAAATACCTTATTAGAAATTATAAATACATGTGCACATTTTTTTACGAAATTTTTTTCATGTCTTTTTGTCGGACCGACGATTTGCGGATATCTTTTTGTCTGACATTATAATTTTTGCTTATAAAAAACACTTTTCTATCGTGTGTTATTTTTGTCCGACATGTGGTAATCGATTTATCATACCCCGTGAAAATTCCAATTTCCAGCTGTCGGACTGAAAGAACGCGGCTTGAAATTTGTCGGACAACAATACTTATTGACTGGATTATTTATTTACAATTAATTTTACTAAAAATTACCTATGTGGCAATTGATTTTCAATACCCTGTCATTTTGGCATGTTTCGGCCGGTAGACACGTCAATGTCAGAAGAATTTCTGTCGGACAAATTTAAATCGGCATTTGCAACAAAATTTCCAGAAACTTAAGCCAAAAAATGAGATGTGCTCTTGACTTTTCAAGACCCCGGGAAATTGCCATGTTTTTGGACTTTTCCGAGTGGAAAAGTGGAGGAATCGAGAAAAGTCGCAGAGCAAAAGAGTGGTAGACTCGTCAAAACGAAGCTCCTCACGAGTTATAAAGTATGTGTTAATCAACCTTCCAGTGGGGGCCTGTACTGTGGACTATTATTACGTTTTTTGTAGTATAGTATTTTTCGCAATAAAGTACATATTTAAAAAGATAGAAGCAAATATATGTACATATCGTAATATGAAAAAAAAGGAATCCAAAAAATGACAAATATATAAAGAAAAGATTTGTTTATGTCCCCTAAATTTAATTCAATTGTTTTCCTATATTTCTTGATGCAAAGAAGATTGACTGAAATTTTGGCCTTTACTGATTTTTCCTAGATAGAAAGGCAACAAAGATAAGGGTGATACAATGTTAAATGCACAAGCAATTTCATTAAGAATTTTTATTTTTTTTTTTTCATAAATCTTTTGACGTACTAGACTATAAATGTGATTTTAGAGAAAACTTCTTATTTAAGTAACTTATGGTGGTTTGCGATTTTAGTTTAACTTCGTTTTAACAGATGGCGCAATTAAAGTATAATTTAAGCTGTGCCGACTGTTGACCAAATTAATTTTAATTTTTGTATATTGTTAAATTGCTAGTATTATTTCCTATATGATTTCGTTGACAAACACCCCATCATAGACAATTTGTTAGTTAATCAAATGTAATTAGTTGTAACAATAAATTTTGTAACACTACGATGTGTTTCTCTATATTTTGCTCCCTACCTCCCCGCCATTACTTATCTTCAGAAGTTAACCATAAAAATTGTTTAAATTTTCATAAGGCACCTGAATGTATAATGGTTTTCTAATATACCTAATAATAATAATAATAATAATAATAATAATAATAATAATAATAATAATAATAATAATAATAATAATATCTCTACTTCACATTCTAATTACGAGAATTAGCCCAGAAGTCGGAGACTTGTGCGGGAGAGGAGGCCGCATATTATTACTAAGCAGGCCGCATTTGAATACATATATTCATCAATCAGTTCTATAGTCTGACGTAAAATATTTTATATACTTATAAAATAAGCAGTTTTTATTGTTGACGTGGCCTGTAGCATGTTTAAAAACGAAGCTTTTTGGATTATTGCGATTCACAATTACGGGAAAAAAATTATATCGCTATATTTCCTCAACCGCAGTCAAGTCAGAAATCTGTTGCGATTTGATTTGATCTTATTATGCTGCCTGCCTTGTTTCCATAAAATTTTTCATTTAAAAAATAATATTTGAAAAGCTTATATTATATTTTATGTTTATTAAAAAATTGCATAGATAAATGTGTTGGTTTTTAAAAAAATGTTTGAATAAATGCCGGAACGTAAATGTACCGGTGTTTTAGATACCGGTATTTTATTTTTCATCCGGTATTGCACAGAACTGATACTTCTTAAGCGAAACAATACAATACTTTGTACCGGTATTTCTTGATGTATCGTGTATCTCTAGTGCGAGTGCACTGCTCTTGATTTCGTTTCACAACTTCGGACATTTGTCGGCACCTTGCAGCGTGAAGATTCGAGATCCGGGACAAATCTTTGTAGAACCGTTTACTTGGAACTGCATGTAGAATTGGTTCAGTGAACCGGTTAAGACTTGTTGCGCCCATCTCTAGAACGACGGCACTCAATTGATAATTGACATTTGGGCGGTTTTCAGTGTTCACTGTTCACTATTAACTGTATTTGTTTTAAACAATTGGTCACTTTGGTTAATTCACTTTCAGTAGAGACCAAGTTCGTTTTTTTAAACAAGTGAACACACCATAGTATGACCATTGTTTAAATATCCTATTTATTTAAACAATGGTATGACCAAAATCAGTTCCTCCCTTTCCGATCTAACCTAGCCTAATATCGTGGTTAGTAAGTGAATAAGATAACCGAACAAAACATAACCTGCAAATAATATTAATCATAAATCTAAATCATTAAAATAAGCAGTTGATAATGGATATGGATTCATCCGAAGAAGATATGTTGACTGTAAGTATGTTGGGTACAGCCTGATTGACAACAACAACCTAATTAAACTGAAATTGAACAGATCTCAAAAGTGAAAATTTAAAATGGAGTAGATGAATGTTTTAAAGTTAGTTCAAATCACTGTCACTTCTAGTTTGGTCAATTTGACCAAACTGAACTAACCAGGTCGTAAAACAAATACAGCTATTGTCACCCACTGTCAGTATTGTCTGTCACTGTCACTGTCCGTTGTCCGTGCTTGTTATCGTTTGACTTCATTTGGTGTTTATTTTACCACAATAATATTAAATCGTACTTTTTTTCAAATCAATCAGTTATTTTCACGGCTAAACTTTTCGGCACTTCGTCTACTTACTGGTAAGTTGTAACAAAAACAAAATTTTGAGGTTAATAATATTTTTATTTCAGAACTCATTATGCCGTTTACTCTAGAACAAGATGCCTTTATTTTAATGGCATTTTTTCGAAGCGGAACTCGAAATGAAGACGGGTCATGGACATATTCTTTACAGTCCTGCATTGAACAATTTAGGAAAAAATTTCCAGATGCAAACGTCGACTATGACACTTTCTTAAGGCGAAAATGTGTTATTCTCAAAAGATTTAAAACCAAACAGTGCGTTTGCGGAGGTAAATCTACGGACAGAAAAATTGTACCTAAAAAAAATGATGATAAAATCACAAAGTTGGAGCATAACGATACGTTTATTAAAAAGGAAATCGATGAAACAGAATTAGGTGAACAGAGAATGGAGGTGGAGGATTCGAATATAATTAAAACGGAGGCAGAAATGGAAGATATGCTGGTTGAAACTGAGAAAGTTTACATAAAAACTGAAGGAAATGTTTGTGAAAGGTGAGAAAAAATTCAATATTACTATTAAGTAGGTAATATTATTATTAATTTATTCATTTCATGCTTGGCCCCCATTATGGTGTTTTTTTTTAGGTTACCTCTGTGTTTTGGTGAAATATATCTGAAATATCATTATTGGTAATTTTTAATGTAACAAAAAATTTTTATATATAAATTTTCCTAAATCGCCAGTTCTTTCTGAACTAGTGACAAAATCATCTGTCATAAATGTCTCCTTTGTAATGTCTAACTTCATCCTTCAGAAGCTTTCAATTATTTTCATTCTGCTACCTATTTGTAGTAGTATTTCAGTATTTCATTCGTATTTTATATTATTATTACAGTTATTACAATAACACCAACACCTTTTTGAAACACGTATTTCCAAATTGATTTCAAAACACTGAGTAAATGTTATACAGTATTTTTTATTTATAACTTAACGATCATTCCATTATGAACACTTTTAATTTTCTAGTGAATCGTCTTCATATAGTAAAACTATTGATGACAAAGACAAGAGCACACACGAAGATAAGGGAGGCATAAAGAGTGAATCTATGATTAAATGTGAAATAGATGAAGTTCAAACCAGCACCCTCGACGAGTTACCAACATAAATAGTGAATTTGAAAATGAGTTTAACGAAGGAATAAAATGTGTAGCCCTAGGACTACACACACTAGGTGTAGATTGTAAGAAAAATTTGTAACATTCATTTAAACAAGGCAGCTTCTAAGTTACGAATGCACAAATACAATATATGTGATTATGGAACCAAATTTAAGGGTCATTTAAATGTCGCTAGTATGTACACGTACTTCAGACATTGAAGTGTATAAATGTAAAAATTGTGTTTTTGAAACTAGTTAAAACGTCACGTGCTGAAGCACCAAGATCCCTCAAGAGTGAAAATGTACAAATGTGATAAGTGAATTTTCCAGACAACAAAAACTCTGTAGTAATGTAATCGTGCAAGTAATTGTAAATAATTTCTTAGTGTTAAACCAATATATGTAATTAATTTGTATGTTATAAGGACAAATTTTAATATTATTTTATAATCTTCCTAACTGTTATACATGGTGTCTAAGAAAACTTTGTAAATTATAACTCGCTAGGAATTGACGATTGTCAATTCTTTTGTTAATGGAATGATTAATTTTTTCACTATATCTGATAAAGAATTTTTCCCTGAATTCAATAATACATATACACATCAATTTGATATTTTGTGTTGTCAAAAGTTATATTTTGTTTTTTTTAATCATCAAAAATTGCACAGTTAAAGCTTGCAGAATGTTTTTAGGACACTAGAACTATCTTCAACTTAAATAAAAAATATAAACCCTTCACATACAAATTACGGGGTCTTGATTTTCAAAATAGTTGTACTTTTTTGTAAAATTAATTAATATTTCATTCAAATTTGGCCAAGTATTTTGGAGAGAGAGAGAGCAATAGAGAGGCATTAATTTTCAAATTTTAAAATCTTGTAATTTTAATAAATTCTTTTAAAGCTTTGGTATGTTTGTGCATTATTTTAATCAAATACATTTTCTTAACAGATCCTTAAAAAAAAGCACCTTTGACTCGCATATTAAAATGCTTTAATAGATTCGATGAGTTGGGCCATTTTATTTATCATTTGAATGAGGTGGATCATCTGAAATTAAGGATCATTCAGAAATTAGGATTGTTTAAATAGACCAATAATATTACATGAATGGAATCCATCGTAACAAAATGAAAAAAACAGCCTATCTCATCGGTCAAATGTCGATAAACATTTTTTATGAATTGCCCTAAAATAGAAAATCAATCGAAAGACATGGGAACATCCAGATTTCCAATGAGAACCATCTTCTGAGAAGTTACAACAAATGAAAATGCACGGTACGGTATGATTTTTCTGAGTATCGGTTTTTTTCATTCCGATACTCGATATTTTGTACCAGTATTACAGCTTACGATACAATACGATCCAGTACATTTTCTGACAATACCTATAGGCAGTGAAGTGAACCTTAATGCTTGAACTGATTAACGATAACTTTCCAAAAAGGTATCATACAGTCTAGCGGCAAGTATGTGTGGACTAGCAGTTGCAATTCAGTCAGTTGCGCTGTTACAGTCTTTGAATAAATGACAGTAATATCTTTATTTATTGTAAAAAAAAAATAGTAAAACTCGGTACATCCTTGATTGCAGTCAGGTCAAAAATCTGTTGCGATTTAATTTGTTCTTTTTATGCTGTGTTTTTTGTTCCAATACAATATGGTTCGTTTAAAAAGTAAATAATGTTTGAAAGGTATATATTATATATTTATTAAAAAATATGCAAGAAAAATGTTCTTTTTTTAATCTGAGGAAATGCCGGAACGTGAATGTACCGCTTTTTTGTGTACCGGTACTTTTTCATCCGGTATTGCACAGAACCGGTACTTTTTAAGCGAAATAATACGATACATCAGTATCAGTATTTTTGAAGAATCGCGCATCTCTATAACAAAGTGGTAAATTGTCTGAGTACACACGTTTCAAGCCATACATTTGGATGAAGAAGAAGAATCAAGGTTAGGAATACTGTCACTTTATAATTTAAGATATAAGAATCAAAAAGATAAAAGTATATATAAATGGGAGATTCTAAAGCGATATTTTGCAGGCTTTGCAATAATCCTGTGAGTAAAGGAAATTTTACAGTGATAGACGAAGCTACAAGAGAAATTTTAAGGACTGTTTCACTAAATCTAGTAAGTTCATTTAAAACTGTATTTCAATATTCTAAGCCGTTCCACCTTTAAAGTGAGTTCCTGAGATCAAAGTATCGCATGTGTATTAAGTATTGCTAGTCAAATCATTTTACTTTTTCATTACAAACATGTTTCAGGACTTGGACGACAACAATGAACATGTCATGTGTTCTACCTGTTCTGTTAAACTGTACTCTGTGTTTGACTTTAAATCTACTTGTCTCTACGTTGAGGACAAGATTGCCAATTATGTTAATCCTAAGGTGTCCTTCGTTGACTTAAGAGAAGTTTATTCCAAGGAGCATGAGAACAAATCAGGTAAAGTGGAAGATAATGAGAAAATATGTCGATTATGTTTGCAGTTAGTTAGAGGATTTGTGCCATTTTATAAAGTGAAGTTAGAAATTATTCATAGATACATCCCAGAGGTGGTAAATATCTATTTGCACATTTTAGAGCTTGCACTATTATACCTGTATTGTAGGATTTTGGTCTCACCGAAGATCCTCTCATTTGTAACCAATGTCTTGAGTTACTCGTCACTCATGATTCTTTTATAAAGGCCTGTTTGAATGTTGAAATAAAAGTTCAAAATGCAGGTGAATTTGAGCATAACATGTCTATTAAAAACGAAATCATTGAAACAGGATTAGGAGATGAAGATAGGATGGAAGGGTCAATCAAAATTAAGCAAGAGCTAAACATGGAAGAAACACCGATGGAAACTGAAGAAGTTAACATAAAAAGTGAAGGAAATATTTTTGAAAGGTAAGAAAGTTAAGAAAAACTTGGATATGTCAAAATAGGTTGTAAAAAAATAGTAACCCCTATTGAGATGTTATTTAGCTTTTCAGTTTATGAAATAGTAAAGTATGTCCAAATTATTTTTTATTATTATTGATTTCATTTTTGCTTTTGAAGCCATTGATGACACGTGAAAAATCGCCTTGCAACTTCTCTCGGCTTCAATTTGTGTTGCACCCAATATCCTTGCTTTTGAATCATACCGAGTGCATTTAAACATTTGGAAACTGTTGTGCATTCAGCAGACAACGATTCAATAAGTTTTTGTGTTTGACATGAATCTTGGTCGGGTAATGCTTCCAATTCCTTATCTTCCAACATTTTCGGTTGACCGGGGTGTTCTGTGTCAACTATATCGAAATAAACACCTCTAAAACGTCGAAAGCAATACTTACACGTTTTTATCGATGGAGTATGTTCACCATAAGTTTTCAACAGTATTCGATGACTTTCAACAGCACTTTTCTTTGAATTAAACGGGTAAAGTAAAATTTCCCGCAAATGGTATTTTGTCGGTTCCTAATTCGACGTCTTCGAAGCTGAGAAAAAATGTCGTTTACACTTCGGCAAAATGACACATAATAAAAAGTAAAGCCTAATGACAGAGTTTTGACATGAAGATAGTTACAAAAATGTCCGAGGTGATATCGAATAAGTCGCACTATCTATTGTAAATCCTCCAAAATTAATTCACAGTTCTAGTAATTGTTAGATCATTCGTCAATTGTCTCACCTGTGGCATACTGGTGAGGAATAACAAGTCTGAAACTGACGTGAGTCTAGCTTTGTTCTGTAGATTTTTTAACATATTGATACAATTGCTTACTTGTATGAAAACAAAGAAAGATTAGACAATGTAAGGCAAGAAATTTTTACCACATTTACTTACAGCCTAGAAGATAATTGTTATAGTGTTGAACAAGTAATGAATCAATCTGTTTTGTCAAATTATTTTAAAAATAAAGAATTTTATGCTGTGAAATTCAACAATTTGTAGTCCCTATATTAAAAAATGGTTCTAGAAATCATCACTTTTTACTTTTTATCGAAATTGAATAAATAAAGTTCATACCTACTATAATTGTTAAGTTGAATTCAGAAAGTTATGACGACTAAAAAAAAAATTGTTCTACTAAAAAAAATCTTGTGATATAACTTGCAAATAATTGACTGTGGAAGGGGAAGGGTGCATAAAATGTTGCCTTTTAAAATGCAAAATTAATGTGTCAGAGGAAATATGAAACTTTTTGGAATCAATTAAATTTATTTTATACTCTTCTTCCGCACTGTATGTTTCATTTATTCCATTATGAACAATTTTAATTTTTTCAGCGGTTCTTCTTCGCACAATTTACATAATGAAATGGTCGACAGCAAGAATAGGCACATTTATAAAGATGTAGGCGAAATAAAGAAGGAATCTATGCTTAAATGTGAAATAGAAGAAGTTCATACAAGCGCTCTAGGAGAGGTACCATCGTGTAATAGTGAATATGAAAACGATTTTAACAGCAATCTAAAATGTGAAGCTCCAGGACTTATAGATTTTGGAGTACAAATGCACAAATGCAATATGTGTGATTATGAAACTAAATCTAAGGATCGTCTAAATGTACATCAGTTATCACACAAAGACCCTTTGGAAATCCAAATGTACAAGTGTGATGCGTGTAGTTATGAGTCTAAATACAAGCATTCTCTAAAATACCACCAGTTAACACATAAAGATCCCTCAGAAATCCACATGTACAAATGTGATGTTTGTACCTTTCAAACTAAATATAAGCACCGTCTGAAATATCATCATTTAACGCACAAAGACCCTTCAGAAATCCAAATGTACAAATGTGATGCTTGTAGTTTTGAAACTAAGTACAAGAGACAACTAAAACTGCATCAGTTAATACATAGAGACTCTTCGCAAATACAAATGTTCAAATGTGACGTTTGTACTTATGAAACTAGATATAAAAATCATCTAAAAAATCATCAGTTGACCCATAAAGATCCGTCGGAAATCCAGATGTACAAATGTGATGTATGCCATTATGAGAGTAAATATAAGCATTCTTTAAAATACCATCAGTTGCTGCACAAAGACCCTTCTGAAATTCACATGTACAAGTGTGATACCTGTACTTTTGAAACCAAACATAAGCACCATCTAAAATGTCATGAGTTAACGCACAAAGACTCTTCAGTAACCCATATGTACAAATGCGACATTTGTACTTATGAAACTAAATATAAGAGTCATCTAAAAGATCATCAGTTGACTCATAAAGATCCTTCGGAAGTCCCCATGTACAAGTGTGATACATGTGCATATGAAACCAAATACAAGAAGGGTCTCAGAAAGCACCGATTAATGCATGAGAACCCTTCCACAGCAGGGATATCGGAATGTGATACACCCAATACTATTGTTGATAAACAATATCTTACATGTAATCCATCAGTACATAAAGGTTCTCCAAATGTCCAGGTATACAAATGTAATGATTGTGTTTTCGAAACCAGGCATAAAGACAGTTTAAGAGTTCACGCCCTGAAACATCAAGATCCCTCGAAGGTGCCAATGTACAAGTGTGATAAATGCGTTTTCCAAACAAGGCATAAACACAGTTTAGTTAGGCATCAGTTAACACATAATACTGTAGTAATGTAAGTCTACAAGCAATTATAGACGATTTATTAGCGATCAACGGTAAGTTGTAACAGCAACTTCCGAATATCAAATGATCAGGTCTAATTTTAATACTTCATAAGCCTATATATAGCATTGTTTAGTTTTCGAAGTATAAGCCATCAGTCATCCTTTTTTTTTCAGTTTCAAATAATTTTTTACTGTTATTTTTTTCGTCATGTTTAGGACATATTCAAGTATTTAAACCTTGTAATTTGCATTTGAATTTAAGAAAAAATTGTGTGATAAGCATGCAATTTCCCCGCAACTAAATTACGATGTCTGATACAGGCTTTAAGATATTACAACATTCTTAAATAGCACTGAGAATTCGTTTAAAACTTTCAGACATATTGATTGGTTCTCAGTGGCCACCAGATAGCAGTCATAACTTATAGTTAGCCATTATTCTTAGTACTGTTAATAATATATTTATTATAATTCTATTTTGGAAGGATCAATATTTTTGTTTAATCTTGTATATAGGATTCCTTAAATGTAGAAATTTTATTTGAAGTAAGAAAAAAATGTTTTTCTGCTAAGGGTTGTTAATATATAAATAAAAATTTTTTTCCTGATTAACTGTTTTAATTTTTAGTCTTGTAATACGGGCCACTGATTCCTCTAGTAGTTTCTAAAATTATACAAATCCAATCCTCAGTTTTCCTCCGAGTAGATCAAATGTGCCGGCTAGGGTGTCCCTTATTTTCCGACCTCGAAAATTTTAAATGCTCACCCTCCAATTTTGTTCGAATGACTCTAAAACATGCCTATATAAAATTTTGTTGAGATCGAAGCATTCTAACCCGTGCCGACTTGAGCGCGAAGTCGCATGAAGTCCGCACTTGTCACCCAGCGCTGAGTAAGGCCTGAGCCTATCAGTATGTGCATTACAGTCAGTTCTTTATTTGTTATCCATCGTGTCACACGTGTTTTCGGGTCGTAAAACTAACATAATGTCACATCAATTACGCAGTGCCAGGGAGCGCGTGTTTTTAATAGGAGATATAAAACACCAAATAACTGGACACAAATTACCATCAAATAGACAAGTGCTTGAAGTTTTATTTTATAATATGCGGGAGGTAAAATTAACTCTCAATGTAAGTGCTAATCTTGTGGTTCGCGAGTGCATGATATTTTGGGAAAAAGCAAGAATTCCAACAAGAGCTAATCAGCATTGTTCACAAAAACTTATTAACTTGTATTCGGAGTGGAGAAAATTGCAAAAAAACGCAAACAAGTGTGAAGATATTTTTAAGCATCGTGAACAGGAGTTTAGAAATAATTTGGACAATCTATTTGATATTGCACATGCGAATGCTCTAAAAATGATGAAGTTGGAAGAAGACAGGATGTTTTTACTTAGGCAGAGAGAGCCAGGACGTAAAGGCTACCTTGCAGGAATAGACCAAAAACTCGCAGATCAAGAAAAAAGGACAAGGCAAAGACAATTGGAAGAAGAGAAAAGGAAAGAGAAACAACAGTGTGCAGCGTCTACATCTACTGCTGTACCTCCTTCTTCATCATCTGAAGATTCAAATAACACACTTCCAAGTTCAGAAGAAGAATTTTTCGGAGAGACTTCGGAGAGTACAATTACATCAATGCAAAATGCTGCTAGCCGTGGTACGAAAGATTTTATTACACCTAAATTAGTGGCTGCTTTGGATAGATGCCAGCTGAGTGTAAGAGATTCTGTTTACATCCTTCAGGCGACAGCAGAGGCACTTGGCCACAATACCGAACAACTTTCTATTAATAAATCTTCTATTCATCGAATCAGACAAAGGAAGAGAAGAGAACGATATGACACAATTAAATCTGCTTTCGAGAATGATATACCTGCAATTCTTACTGTTCATTGGGATGGTAAACTGTTGCCTGCATTAAATGTCAGGGATCCAAAAGAAGAAAGACTTCCAATTGTTGTTACATGTGGGGACAGGGAGCAGCTCATCGGGATTCCAAAATTACAGAATTCTTCTGGTAAAGAGCAAGCGAACGCTGTTTGGAATGCATTAATGTATTGGGGTATAGCAGACAGTGTACAAATTCTCTGCTGTGACACAACTGCTTCAAACACTGGACGTTTTAATGGAGCATGTGTCTTACTTGAGCAAAAATTGGACAGGGAATTATTGTTTTTTCCGTGCCGTCACCACATATATGAACTTATTTTACGATGTGTATTTGAATGTAAAGTACGTGATGTAACAAGCAGTCCTGACATACCACTTTTTAAACATTTTAGGGAAAGCTGGAAAAGTGTTAATCCCAATAATTTTCAAAGTGGCAAAGAGAATGTGGAAATGTTTTTTAATGAACCGGAAATTAAAGAAATGTTAGACTTTTATGAAAGTGAATTAGATAAACCAACACTGAGAGGTGATTATCGTGAACTTATAGAACTCTCTCTAATGTTTTTGGAAGGACATTCTACAAAAAAACTAAAAATACGCCCTCCTGGGGCTATGCATCAAGCTCGATGGATGGCAAGAGCTATTTATAGTTTAAAAATGTTTCTGCTAAGATCACAACTTAGACTATCCAGTGTAAATGAAAATGCCTTAAGAGATGTCTCTTTGTTCATTGTAACTGTTTATATCAAACCGTGGCTTCAGTGCAGTGTAGCTGTAAGAGCTCCTTATCAAGATCTCTGCTTTTTAAAAGATCTAAAATCATATGAAAGGATAGATTCCACAATTTCAAAAGCAGCTCTAGAGAAATTTAGTCACCATATGTGGTATTTATCAGAAGAATTGTCTATCCTATCACTATTTGATGATGAAGTAGACGTACAAATCAAAATCAAAATGGTAGCAAATTTAGCAAGAGAGAATTTACACATGGAAAAGAGATATATTCCTCTTTATGGAGAATTGGATGGACAATTATATGGTAAGTTTAATTTTATCCTAATTACCATTCTTTAATTTTGAATTCCTTAATATACATCTCCTAATTCAATCTTAACTTCATTTCAGTGAGAACACTAGACGACTTTGTGTCAACCAAAAGCAGAGATCTATTCTCTTGCCTGAAAATGGACAATAGTTTCATTCAAGAATGTCCTTCGACATGGTCAAGCAACACTGCATATTTAGAAGCTCAAAGGATAGTTATGAAGTTAAAAGCTGTGAATGACTGTGCTGAAAGGGGTGTTAAATTAATGCAAGATTTTCATGGACTGCTGAGTGTAGATGAGGAACAGAAGCAATTTGTCTTGTGTTGTGTTCAAGAACATCATACATTGTATCCAGATTGCAGGAAAGAAACACTGAAAAGAAAGTATCCACAAGAATAGTAAAAACCGTAATACAGTCTAAAGAATGAAAATGTATTAAACTGTAATATAAAATTAGATATTAAACATGTATCAATAGCTTTTCCACTTACTTGAAACTACAAAACCTATAATTCCTAACATTCAAATTTCGCGCTCAAGTCGGCACGGGTTAATATCGACCTATTGAGATGAAATTTTATTTTTGAGTAAATCTGACCCAACAGAAAATTTTTAGGGGATGAGCCCAAAAAAATTAGCAAAAATTTTTTTTTTTTGCAAAATAAGGGACACCCTAATGCCGGCGTACATTAAAATATGCATAGTGCCCACCAATCAGGAAAAAGTGGTTGTAGTTCATATACAGGGTGTAGAGGATCTTAAAATATGTCGATTTGTTATGTAACATGTAATTGATGTAAAGTGATGTTTTTGAGTTAAGCAGTACCCTTAATCATTACCTTGCGATAAAATCTGTCGGAACCAAGATTATTTTTTTCTGGTTAACGTGTTTATCGTTGTTTGCGTATTTTGGATTTTAACTTACGAGTTAAACTGAAGATTGAAAATGAATTATCCAAGGAATTTAACGGAACATGAGGCAGTTGGAGCGTTAACATTAAATGATGAGGGATATTCTCAGCGTTATGTTGCCAATTTATTGGTAGTAAACCATTCTACAATAAGTCCAGTGATTAAACGTTTTAATGAAACGGGAACTTATTGCCGGAGACCAGGACAAGGGTTTTCTTAGGCAGTTTTCTTTAACAACCAGGTCAATCACTAGTTGGGCGTTTCTGCTTGAACAGTCAGAAGAAGGCTAAAAGAAGCTGGACTGGCAAGTAGAAAACCAGCAATTGCACCACTGCTTACCAGACAGGATAGAGTTGCCAGGTTGCACTTTGCCAGAGATCATCGTTGTTGGTTTGTAAACAATTGGGAACAAGGTTTATTCAGATGAAACTAGGGTGAGCCTAAAATCTCCTGATGGTCAGGAACGAGTTTGGTGGAGACCTGGAGAAAGATTTGCGTAATGCAATATCTCCAAAGATTCCATTTGGTGGTGGCTCTATAATGTTTTGGGGAGGAATTTGTTATAACGCTCGCACATAATTAAATTGTAAAATTGGCATTTTTCGTATAATATTGTCAAACTAATTAAATAATGCAATTTGTTGCTTTTCATTTAGTTTCCCAGTAATTTATTTTAAAAAATGCAATGGGGGGATTTATTATGTTGGTGCGTTCATTTTGTTCAGGAGTGTATTAAGGTTAAAATAATGAAATAAGGTGTACGTAACAAATATATTTTATATAATAAAATTAATTATATCACAAAAAAAAGAATCATCAACCAAAAACATTAGTAATTACATGTTTAATTTGTCATATATGACAATATTATTAATACAACTCTATATAATAAATGTAGTTTGCTGTTTATTACATTATATAAATTGTATCATGTTAGTAACGTGCATACGTTGAATTTGCAGTTCCGCTATACTAATATTACGAATATTTTCACATATTATTAATCTATACTAGACACAGAAATTAAGGGATATTAAAAAATCCCAAAATTTTGGGTGATTTTCAGAGCTGTAACTTGGAGGGAAATGGTTGAAGAATAAAAAAAAGGAAATTGAAGCTTCAGGTGTCTAGTTTTAAGATCCGCAGTTTAAAATTTTTTAACATCAGCAGTTTTTGAGTAATCATACGAAAATCAACGGAAAAAAAAATTTTGTAAATTTTTGCTTTTTTAAAAAGGCCTATGGACTTGAAAAAAATTTCATCATAAAGCTCATTTAGATAATTTAATTCTCTTCAATTTGAGCGGTTCCGGAGCTTTGTATGATTATTTGTCGCTGAGTTATCATCAATCGAAGCAAAAAAATCATTTTTGACTTTGGCAATAAATTACTCGGGAAATAATGGTAGTACAGAAAATCCAAGCACAGTTTTGGAAACTGCAAAGTATTCTCTACAAGTCCTAATTATAGGTTTTTGATGAAAAAAAAATTGAAACTGAAAATACTGGTTAGAGAAAAGGTAAAAAATTGCAAAATTAGGGATATTTGTATAACTTGGCATAACTTTGCAGATAATGAAGAAACTAAGGATATCGACTGTAACTTTTCAACCTCAAAGTGTCCTAAAGAAACCCTGATAATTTCAAAACCCTGTGATTT